CACACTGCCATAAGGCCCATAAGCCGTTGTATTCCCTCTTAAGCACCTCGAAAATACCACAATCGAGACACCCACTCTGAGAAGACCTTCTATGAATCTAAAGCTATTTCCTTCACCTTCCTGATACTAAAATATAAAATCCATAATGACATAGAAATACCGCAAGTCTCAATACCATTCAATGCAAATATCATATTCTAGCCATATATACATCCAAGAAATTCTCAATTGCTACATATAAATCTTGAATCCATTAGAACTTTCTCGAGAGTCATCCACTTTGCTCAAATTTCAATTGCACCGCCTAAGCGGGACGAATGACCTGTGTCTCATTAGCACGATAAACCCCAAAGAAGTAATCCACACCTCTAAGCAACCAAGCGAATCCCTTTTTCTTAGTACATTACATCCATCACGAAGATCAAACCTAAACCATACCAAGACTTCCATATATCCATAACATGTAATACATCATGCATCCAAAAATTCCTTACTCAACTCATCCTCAAAACCAACCTCTGCAAGTCTAAGCGATCCACAAGTATGCCTCAGACCGAAACCAATACAACACATAATCATACAATCAAATCGCCGATGATATAATCCACCACTTGGCTTAAAGCCATAGAATAAAACATATGATGACTCACAATACCCATATTCTATTACTTCCATAATCTCACTATGAGATTTAACTAAATCCTTCACAAGCTCTTGCAACACAACCCATAAAATGCCCCAAATCATCTGCTAAGCTCGCATTTATACTCGTGACGGTCAGGTCAACTTTCTCAACCAATCCAAACTCAAATCGCAACACCTATACCCAATGGAAGAAAAGAAAGTCTCCACACAACATAAGGATCACACATCTATAGATTACCCCGCAAGTGATAACCCACATGCTTAGCCTCAAACTGACATCTCTCTATACCCTTTCACAGCCACAACTACTACATAATCACTTAGTCTTCTTGAGTCTGAACTCATCAACAAGACATGAAAATCTACTTCGTTATACAAATGAAATAACACGAAAGAATCTCTTAAAAACCTTCATAACTCAAGACTGTATGATACATCCATAGAAATCGAGCATCCAATAGTCCTTTCCACACCCACGCAAACTCTTCTCGCCACATCCAAACCATCCGAAACATACCGCAGTCACGTCATACTCATCATATAGCCATCCAACCACTCATCGAGCCATAAATTCTACATATAGGGACACTACCAGACATATAAGTCCCAAAGCACATGCTCACACAACTGAAACTACGGAGCCTAAATTGCGGTCTAAACCTGGCCTCAAGTCCTCTAGACTAGACCATCACCAAAACATAGAAAATGCATCTTGCACCTCATCCTTGGAATCACAAGCCGTCGATACATAGCTGATATCGAGCACTCACATACGCATACGAGCGAGTGGAAAGAATTCAAAGATATATGCTTCAAGCTAAATCAATGTCGCACGATAAGGAAAAAAAGGTGAGAAGTTTATCCTAAATGCCCTGTAGCCTCTCGAAGATAGGTATGGACGTCATCATACCAATCCGCAAGACTCTACTAGACACTTGCTCATGACTCGTAGAACCTATGAACCTAGAGCTTTGATACCAACTTGTTACGACCCAAAATCCAACTAGTCGTGATGGGACCTAACCCAATCCGTTAGGTAAGCCAATTAACAACAATCCAATTCAATGAGATTTATTGAGAAAATAAATGATGAAACAACTAAACTTTTATACACTTCCCAAGTAGTGGTAGTACAAATCATGGGCTTCTAAGATTTAGAGCTTACAAAGCTGGTATGAAATAAATACATCATCTATTTCAAATGTACATGAACAGATTAACAATTCTAAAGCTACCAAGGACAAAAGACAACTATGACTAGAACGCAGTACATCTTCAATGCCAGCACCCGTATACATAGTAAGATCAACATCCAAATTCTACATCCAAGGTGTAGAAGTGTAGTATTAGTACAACCGATCCCATGTACTCAATAAGTAACAAACCTAACTTTAGGTTGAAAGTAGTGACGAGCTTGGACAACGATCAGAGTCCAACACCAACAGCCAGGAACAACTCGTAACAATATAAATAAAGCAATACAAGTAATAACTCAAAGATATAATCATCAGCTCATTCACAGTTCGGAAAAAGGCATGCTTTTCAAGTATAACAGTAAAACCCAAATCATTCACAGAAATCACCAAAATACGAGTAAATCTGAAAAATGTGTTTTTTCCCAAAAACTTTCAACAACAGACTAGAAGTTTCGTTATCAGATGGCATGAGAAAATTACATCTCTATGCCTACATGTCAATATGCATGTGAAGTCATAAATGTCACAATGTCGTACGACATGAAGAAATATATCTCAATGCCTGCATGCCAAGTATACATGCTAATTATAATGCAACACAGTGATAAAACAATATGCATACCCTCGGAGTATTAATTCGCTCAGTCCTCCCAGTCACTCAATCTTCACAAACTCATTCCTACAATCACTCAGTCCTCACAGTCACTCAATCCTCACAATCACTCGACACTCGCATTCAGTAGGTACTTCCGCTCACTGTTGGTATGTCAGACTCCAGAGGGGTGGATCCTGCCCAAACACTAATATAAGCCAATCATGGTATGAATCAATAAAGCCTACTGCGTCGTGCAACCCGATCCCATAAATATCACTCACAATTAGGCCCTCAACCTCAGTCAGTCATAATCTTCTCCAATCTCTCGGCCTCACAAATCTCATGCCAATCATCCCAAACAAAGATAATATGATGTGAGACAAATGGTAACAAAGACTGAGATATGATACGCAAATAATGAATGCGACTGAGTACATAATTGCAATTTAAGCAAATAACTCAACAACAGAAATGATCTCCGTGGATCCCAACAGGATAAGCATATAGCCTAAACATGGGTTCTAATATGGATCACAGTTCAATTACTCTAGAACGTAAAAAATTCATGGATAGAAACAAGATAGATAACTACACGGTAGCACAGAATCAATCGAGTCATAATTCACACGATGCACGCCCACACGCCGTCACCTAGCATGTGCGTCACCTCAACACCAAACATGTAGTACGTATATTCAGGGGTTCATATCCTCAACACCAAGTGTTACTTACCTCGAACAAGCCAAACCCAATATCGAGCAAGCCAAACAATACTCTAGAAATGCCATCCTGTGCGTACCGACCTCCGAACGGCTCAAAACTAGCCAAAAGCAACTCAGAACATCAAATAATTCCTAAGGAAACAAACTCAATTGATAAAGGTAGAATCTTTAATCAAAAGTCCAAAGTCAACCAAAAATTCAAATTCGGGCCCGCACCTTGGAACCTGCCACATCTCATAAAATCTGACAACACATTCAATTATGACTGCAACTATACTAGTTTCACTCGAATCCGATTGTGAAATTTTAGACAAAAACCTCCAAATTTCACTTTTAAATCCTCAGTCAAATGCCAAAAATAAAGACGGATTCATGAAATATAACCAAAACCGAGTGTAGAACACTTACTCCAATCCATGTGGTAAAAATCACCTCCAAAATCACCCAAATCCGAGCTCCCCAACTCAAAATATGACCAAATGAACAAACCCTTGATATTATATATTTCTACCCAGTTGTTCTGTCTCGTTTTTGTGCCAAATAATCTCGAAACTTGCTTTTGATCCCTCCAATAGAATCTTTGTGAAATTCCACTCAAGTTAGGCTTTTGTATCATCCATTTGACCTTATAATGAAGGAGGTATGTTGGTTTCAATATTTGGAAATAGTGCAAATTTTAAATACGAATTCAGTGGCAACTTCATAATTAATCTGAAAAAATTAGGCAACTCAATTCTTAGTAAAATGACCATAAATTCCTCATACGAAGTCAAAACTTGATGATTCCAGTTGCTATGGTTCCAAAATTACAATACAGATCTAATGATTCATTCAAACAGAAATTGGAGCTCATTTGCTTAATGTGGTACCATTTATGCTTGAAAAAAACGACGTCGTAACATAAAAAACGAGCGTAACACAACCCAAACCTATCCGAAACTCACCCGAGCCCCTCAGGACCCCGTTCGAACATACAAACAAATAGCACAGACTTACTCGAGGCCTCAAATCACGCATAACAACATCAAAATTACGAATCACACCTCAAATCGAACTTAATGAACTTTGAATCATTCAACTTCCAAAACTCGTATCGAACCTTATCAAACCTTTCAATTTACAAGATTGGAATGCGTTGTCTACAAGACATTAAATGATGTTTTTATCAGAGAAGTAACTACGCGCTGCACTCTTTTTTCCCTAACCAAGGTTTTGTCCCAATGAATTTTCCTAGTAAGGTTTTTAGTGAGGCAACACACAATGCATATAACAATAACTACATGCTCTTTTCCTTTCACTTGAAATTTTATTTTTAACATGGACATCCTAGGGGGAGTGTTGAAAATATAATAGTTATGGATGCCCATGCTGAGCCCCATTATTTACTGTGTAATAACATTCTTCTCATTATTCTACAATAGTGATTCTTCACTTTTTATGCCTATATATAAAAACTTTGTAACATATGGGTAAAAGTACACAATTGAAGAAGAAAAGTTGTTCCTTCTTTCTATCTCCGCTTCTTATTTATGTTTTACTAAATTACTTTTATTTCATAACAATAAACTTTTATTTTGATATTTTTCTAAAGTTAAAAGTTCATAAGATATCTTTTATAAATGAAGACATTTCTTTTGTTATGTAATCATCGAAGATGTTCTCTCTAATAAGTCAAGATAAGTCATTTCATTTCTAAATATTACTCATATTTTAGAGTTATAATAATTTCTTTTGAAGTAAAAGTTAAAAAAAGAAAGAAAAGAAATCACTCTTTAACTCAACATTTGATTCAGCCGACCGTAAAATATTACTCCCTTCGGTTCGATGTATTGATCTTTTTTTAGTAAAGTTAATTTGACTGGTTTTCAAACACACTCTTAATTCTTAAACCTTAAGCACAAAAAAAGGAGAGGAAGATGTCGTGAAAAGCATTCCAAAGTCCTAAAACCCTAGAAAGAGTCGAAAGGGAATACCAAATTGGTCAAGATTTAGTTGTTATACAAACCCAATTTCTCTATTTATGGAGGGGTTGAAGCGAGTTTTTCGCAGTGCGATGTCACAAGATGGAGATAGCAACTTAAGCTCAATTTCTGCTGTTGTTGAAAAGTCAAGCTCAAAATCATCTGGGGCTGGTTCCGTTGCGGCAGCTGACCAGTCTCAGCTCTTGCTTGCTCGGTCTCCTAGGTATTTCTCCCTCAATTTACTCTGTTTCTTGTTTGCTTAGTTTCTTTTTTTTTTTCCTTTCAGGTTTCTTGTGTGCCTTCAGCTCGAAATATATATTATAGTTGAAATTTTTAACAATAATACCTCCTCCGTACCAAAGATAATGGAGGGGTTCAGAGTAACAGAGCATGTTATTTTGGTCGCAACTGGGACGTGGATTCTTAAGATAATTTCTTTTAGAAACTTCATAAAAGTACTGTTACGGAGGAGATTTTGCTTTACTGTAACTGAATGAGTACTAAATATGAAACATCGACTTGATTGTAAGGGGACTAGAAGCCCACTTCGTTCCACATCACTTCGGAGAAAAATGGTTTTGCAGCTTCGCTATTATCATTTCTCATTATCTCTTTACCAATCTGGTTAATACTGTTTTAAGAAATTAAAGATTTCTTTGTGCTCTTGACAAACGAAGAAAGTAGAACTAGATTAAGGAGTCACCATATATTCAGGAACCAAAATAGCAATTCTCTGTGTAGGGTATGGGACTAAAAGAAATCTTTTTCTTCCAATTTGTGACTTGTGATTAATGTCTACTAACACGAAGAAATTGGCTAGCGTCACATATTCTTTCTCACTCAAAGAAATTGTTGAACAAGGTATCTGTACTTTAACCCCATAGATACACGATGTGTAGAGGCAATGAAAATGTCATGTCTTTGTGTCGCATAACAATTATCAGATCCACTCTGAGATGGGTGCAAATAGAGAAAGGTATAAATTCATATTGCTATCCGCAACTAGTTTAGGATTGAGGTAGTTAATTGATATGATTGATTATATGCGTGAACAGGGGGAGAGAGATAATGGGTACCTGAACGCTATACTTCCAAGATGGGAAGTCCATATTCATGTTTGCTATTAATATCATACACCTTATCCATGATCATTTTTGTATTTCAGCTAACCAAACTTTGCAACTCTTTTATTTGCAATATCAAAAGGTCTGTTTCCATCTAAGTGATCTTCCCTTACTAAATCCAAGCCTCCACCATGTGACCAATGCATTAATCATGTACATGTGATCAATTTCATTAATGTCTTGTTGGAAAAGATGTAGATAGTAATGAAAATGCTGTGATTTTCATATGGAAAGTTCTGTCCATCTTTTTCTGCAGACAAGTGGTATCATTGTGGACTTGCTCAAAACTCTGTGCCATTTGTTTTATTGCTGGAGTATTTGTTGGCTATACACTGAAGCGTAGGGTGCGGCGATGGGCTTCCAAACTTCTCAGGAGATTGAAGGATGAATAACTTTCTGAGATGTAGAGTTTATGATTTTTCTTTTTTGGTAGGTAGGTTGTGATTCTATTATCAATTATGCATGACAAATGTCCAAGTGTGATGATACTAATTTTCTCTATGTTGTAGAGAAATTTTGTTTGAATGTATCATTGAATATTTGATATAAGAAGAGTATATTGACTTTCTAAGATAATACAAATTACCTGAGTTCTTCATGGAAGTTCAGAAAGTTATGATACTTTATTTGATCTCTTAAAAAAAGTTCCTTTTGCTTTTCAGACTGAGTGCTCTGTTCTATTAGTAATTTTTTTGATAAGGGTCTTCCATGTGTAATTTCTGATACGTCATTGGACTTCTCTTTTGACAGAATGAAAAAGAGAAACAAAAATAGAAAGAAATACATCAGCAGGCTTTACTAATGACTATACACAAGAACAAACTTACCTTTAGCAATCACAAATTTTATGTACAAATAACAAAAGAAACATCCTATTGCTGCTCAGAAACCTTGATACTATGAATGCCTTGTAACTTGGTGCCCAAACGAAGCAGATGTCCCTCTTTTTATTTCCTTATTATTCCTCTTGCCCCTCTTTCTGTAACTGTTTTTTGCTGTCCTAACAATTGCAACTTATTGATCTTTGCAAATGCTCTGAGAATTTGATACACCATTCTTGGCATGCAGCACATGAGATGTGTATGATGGTACAATAATATGGCTCTTATGTATTTCTGTAAAATGATTACTTTAATGAAATTTATAGTCTTCTAGTGAAAGAACTCTCTTTCAGCGTAGTATCTTGTTTGATACTTGCATTTGCATTTCTCCTAATCGATGTACATGTATGATGTATCACAAAATACTTAAAAAATTAAAAGGGGAAAAAAACACTTGGCTTATAAGCGAAAATTTCTAATATCAGAAGTTCTCCTTGTGGAACTCGAAACGCGTGGATGTCTTGTAAGTTAATTCTTGTGATAGCTTCTTCAACTCCTTTGCCAAGACAGGCATCCCGCAGTAGAAGACTCCTGCAAATCTTTTTGTTAGTGAATTTACTTTGATTATTTTCAATCTCCAGTTTCATTTTGCAGTTTTGCTTTTTAATTTTGAGTTGTTCTTTTGTTTTTTGGCTGTGGTTCTATTTCTATTCACTTTTCATTTTGAATATTCAATGTTAACTGGGAAGTGCCTGGTTGGATGTTCCACCTTTTAAATGCTTTAAGAAGCTAAGTACTTTCTGCTATTAGTTGATTTAACTGTTTGAATACTTCATGAAGTACGAAAGTTACTATCCATGACTTCTATAATAGCTGACCTATGCCTTTCTAAAGAAACTTAAGATATGAGTCCCTGTTGAATATTGGATGCTATTAAACCGCTTGATGATGTGTTATCATTGTAGAGTTCTGTCCACTATCTTCGTCTAATCAACGACCATGTTATTCTTTGGATATAGCAAATATTGCTGCATTTTTAGATTCTTCGCCATGCTTGTATATAATTTTTATATTAATTATTATTTGTCTCTACTATGTAATGATATTCGTTGGAACAAGGTTGTTTCGTTTTTGTGGCTTGTGACCATTAGCTCTAGAAGGGATCAAGCAAAATCAGGTAGGAAGCATCATTTGTTGGAACTGCCCATGCTTAATAACTTATCATTGTCGAGATTGTAGAAATTCTTTACCTACTGTCGAATAGGGATGTTTTAAAGCTATTCTCTTGAATACTTCCATCCATTTGGGCCTTGCAAAATGTGTCCTCACCTGCAATATAATTTGTTTTGGTGTCAGTACTGTTGAATTGCAATCTTACTATCTTCTGTTCTATTGTTGAAGACCTTTCATAAAGGTTTGGCAGCTATATAGTAGTAAAACCTTTTCTTTTTTGGCTGGAATCAAGTCATTGAGCTAAGCCAAACACCTTTTTATTTTCTTTTTCATTTACTTGTCAATTTGTTTTTTCTTTTACATTTCTCTTTGAGAAGCTGTGGAGAGGGTAATGATGGATCATACCCTAGTGCCAGACAGGATGTCTACGCCATGTTTTGCGTGATTAAGTGCCTGGATCATGGTGATGAGAGTTGATCTGGCATCACCCTCTTCATAAACACTCGTTAGATAATTGTGCATCTCTATCAGACCCTGTTCCATTACCAGAATACAGGAGATAACTGAGTCAATTAACAAAAATAGACCAACATAGAACTCCAATTAGGAGGAGCGAAGAGGGGTGGGCAGTTTAAGGACATCTATCAAGAAGTATGTGTCTACTACTTTGTGATCCGTCTCTGAAACTTCATTCATCACTCCTTTGAACCACTCAAAGGATCCAGGTTCTCTGGTAACCCAGTAAAAATGTGCACTTCTTATCCTTTGTGATTTCTTTTTTACACTTGATGTTGTGCTTGAAGAGACAAAACTTGTCCAGCTATCATCTGATGCGCTAGTCTCAGTATTCAAATCCTGAAACAGCATCATGGAAGAAAGATATTTAGTTGGAGTCTAGATTTCAACATTATTGCTTTGAATTTAATGATGAAGTAAGATTTAGTACGTTTTCATGTGGTCTTGTATTGTTCAATAGATCCTTTAGGATACTTATAAAAGGTGTAGCTCCAATACCAAGTCCTACAAGAAGCAAGGCATCATAATTTTGATAGTCTTGTGCTGGGGCACCGTAGGGTCCATCGACTAGCATTCGAGGTAAGCTGCGTCATACATAGAATTTTTAGACCTTAGAAGGGAAATCTTGATGTAGGTTTGACCGGTCAGAAGTACAGGTAAAGTTACCCTCTTTGATCAACATTTTCACGTTCTTCAAACTTTGCTCGACCAACTACACATGCTGAACTTCTATCCTCTGTGAATACCCTCTTAAGTTCTTTTGTCCAGTCACCTACAATTCGGATGTGAACACTGAGATAGTCGTCTCCTGGTGCTGATGTTATAGAAAATGGATGCCTGGAGAAAAGTTGAGATGTACGTTTAATGCCTGTTGGTGGAACAAAGTCAGCTTGAATGTGAAACAGCCATACCTACCATTCAAATGAGGATATTGTTGGGCACTGCAGGAATATGTACTGGCCGCTCTTGTATTTGAAGCCATCTGGTTTTGACATGATCAAGCTTAAGAGATCTCCTGGAAGTACAGAAACCTGTAAGGTCCGAAAATCAATTCTTCATTTGTTTCCTCCTATTTTTGTTCTTGATCTTCCTCTCTCTATATTTTTAGGTGGTTATACAGTTAACTTTTGGGGCTAGTTGCTTGTATTTTCCCAAGAATACAAGAGTAGTTAATGAATTTCATCTATTTACCCATATGTATCAGTATCTTGCTTTTAGTTCGCCAGAGGTGAAGGCCTCATTAGTAACTTACCTTCAAGATTTTAACTGCATAGTCTTCTGAACGCCATATTCTCAAACTCCTCTCTGCAATGTAGAGGATTAAGGGAATGGAGATATACATCCATGTCTGCAATAGTTATCAGCGACACATTGTCGGCATATAATCAATGGAAAAATGTAAATAAATTTAATGTTCGATTTGCACTAATTCTCTACATAATCCGTACCGTTTTCTGATACCATTTGTGGACAAAGAACAGGAATGTTCCATGTAGTATTAGCAATACGTAGACCAATGCCAGAAGGTGGTGAGAATACCAAAATGCGTTGAAGCCCGTTAATCGGTTCAGGGGGGGTGGTAGCTTCAGTGTGCTCCTCCTGAAGCGTCGTGTTGCCAGTGTGAAAGCTATAGTCATCAAAGTTACCATAGAAAGACCAGTTATGCCTTCAACACCAATCAAAAGGCTTCTGTAAGTTGGCTTTAACTTGTCAAAATCAGAAGCTACGAGTGCAAATTTTTCTGGCGATGAGTTAACCAGATGGGGAAAATCACACGCTAAATGGTTGGCTGCATGAAGTATTATGCCAACAGCTATGGCATGTGCAATAATCTGCTAAGTTGATGACACAGTTAAGAAGAATATGATACTACTGACAAATTCAGAAGAAACTCAGGTATGCTGTGTTTACCTTGTGAAAATTGATGTTGTCATCAAATGGAATAAGTATCCTGGCTCTTGTTGACCGTAACCTAGTTAATATGTTTCGACAAACTGGTAAAAGGATTAGTGCCATGTTAAACTTGAGAGTCTCTGCAGCTCCTTTAGCTGTTGCCAAGCAGTAACCCATAACTTGAAATGCTGCCATTTGCCTATACTGCAAGAATTTCCAAGTGAAAAGTGCAGTCATTGCCGACAACCATAGCAGCAGAATCCAGCCCCTCTGCCAGTTATCTAAGACAAGGCATTTGAGGGCACAACTTGCTTTCTTTACTATGATGTTGGTCTTGCTGATTCCTAGGTTCTGACTCCATTCAAGGGTTGTTGTGCTTAAAGGTCTGCTGTAGCTCATGTAGTTGTCCCTTTGTAGAAGAAGTGTTTCCAACTGCCATAACTGAATGAAAAGGCACATAAAGAGATCTTTATCACTTGCAGTTCTAACCAAACAAGTGTTGGTACATGAATCAGANATCACTAGCAATTCTAACCCAGTTGGTACATGAATTAGATAGACACATTTGTGTTCTGCTGATGCTTAATTATATCTTCTAATGCCTAGATAAAATGATGACTTGATAGTTCATAGTGGAAGTATTCTGATGTTGTTTGAGCTTGAAGCTGCATTATACGTAGGCTGCTCCGTAGTGATAAGTTCAAGCAATTATTAGAGAAGAAAAGGAGAAAGTGTTAATTCCTTTCTGTTCTTTCATTGGTATGAAGTTGGAGAAACTTAAGAAGATAATTTTCTCGTATTTGGTGGCAAATCCAAATAAGAGATTGTGTCTGCAGTAGCACTTTGCAAAATGACTTAAAATCCTAAATATGCCTGCGCTTAAATACTCTTGGGAAATAAGGAGGGCAAGTTAGTAGATAGTAGGTACGAACTTTCTTTATCTCTTGTTATATACCTCAATGTAACCGAGACCTTCTGGGTCTAATTCCTCCATTATTAAAGAAGCATACTCTGCTGCACATTCCTTCAATCTGGAGAGCTTATTTACTGAAGCACTCAGCATTATCAGCTGGTGAAGGAACAAGAAGAAAAACATTAGTGAATAGTGATAATTCAAAATGTAAGACTTTGTACATGCTCAACAGCGAGTTACTTATCATCTTGAGTTTTTGACTTAAACTTACTATATATATCATTACT